AAACCCTAAACCCTAAACCCTAAACCCTAAACCCTAAAACCCTAAACCCTAAACCCTAAACCCTAAACCGCTAAACCCTAAACCCCTAAACCCTAAACCCTAAACCCTAAACCCTAAACAGACAATCCTGCATATTCTGGGCGGGCAATGTTTTTTCTTCTCATTGGAGCTCGAATGCAGTTTGGTCTGGATATCTTATGAAAATCGCTCGAAACATTCGTTCCTTTCGATCTTGGGACTGTTCAAATACAGGGTCCTTCCTTTTGGCTTAAAGGGTGCTTCCTCTACTTTCCGGGCGAATAACAACGCGTTTCTGCAGCCCTAGCTAGGGTATGGCGTAGTTGCTTGCCTGAACGACGTTTTGATCTACTAGCCGAATCTTCAACCTCATATGAAGCACCTCTGACAGGTTCTGGATGTGTTTCTGCGGAGCGAAGTGCACCCCAAGTTCCAGCGCCGCTTCGCCTAGCATTCACTTAGCTTGGTAATGCCGTAGAGACTGACGGAATCAAACTAGCCGCAGAGAAGCTCCAGTCAATCCGGGCATTGCCAGGAACTCTCGGCAATGTCACGCAGGTCTGTTAGTTCTTAGGCACTGACAACTGCTGCAGAATGTTAATGAGGACCAATTCTGCCATACTGGCGGAACCACTTGTATGGCCTACCCACCCCAACGTGCAGTCCGTCTGGCGACCTCAGCATAGACAGGTGGTCAAGGCACTGAAAAAGCGGCTTATCGACTTCACAACCCTTCAAGTCCTTGACCGCGTGAAGCCCTACCAGCTCTTGACCGAAGCTTTCGGTTATGCGATTGGCTCGAAAATGATGCAAACTCGTAGTTTTCCTTTGCTGAGCTTTGTCACCAGCTGGGATATGAACCATTCTAGCACATCGGGGGCGGGCAGGAATGAGCTGCGAGACGTGAAAAACGTCGTAGCACTAATAGGTAGGTATGTGGGGCCTACCAATCCGAGCGATTACCGTGAAATCTCCGTGGAACCACCGCTCGAATTTGAAAAAGGAGTTCTGCGGCTGAAGGTGCTGCTGAGCCACACTTTGCCCCCCACTTCGAAAACGAGATCCCGAGTCAGCGTAGGCCTTCTATGCCCTGATGCGTATTTTGTCCCCCGCTTCGAAAAGGAGATCCCGCCGGCGTACGCCAGCGTAGCATCCAGGGTGTGCTGTCCCACGTCTTGCATTGTTACAGAATCGTTGGCTCGCGCGAGTTTGGCTGCCTTAACACCAGGCCCCGCTGCCGGCATCGCCGGAACTACGGTGGAAACAGAACATCTTTGCAAAGCCATGCTTGAGCAGCACCAGGTAGTTCAGCGAGGAGCATAGCCATAAAAATGCTCCAAAGGGCTTGCGCTGGCCAGGTCAGTGCTTCTCCACTGTGATCCTCTAAGGAGCTCTGTTCTATAAACGGCTAAGGAAGGGACTGCATAGATTAAGCAAAGTTTTGGCTGCAGATCTGGCAGATAATATACGTAAATAGTGGAGTCCAAACATGCATGTCCAGCAGCAAACAACACGACAAATATGTGTCGCCATGGAAATACGGTAGCAGAAGCAGCCCTACCGTGCTGTTCTTACTTTCCGACCGGATAAACGCTAAAGCCTAAACCGCATACCGTAAGCCATACACCCTAACCCTAAACAGTAAACCGCTAACCCTAAGCCATGATCCTAAACCCTAGACCCTAAACCCTAAATCGCTAGGTCGTCTTCCCTAAACCCTAAATCGCTAAACCGTAAGCCCTAGACTCTGAACCCGTGAGCCTGAAACTATACTAAAGCCGAAGACCTACCTTAGAGTCCGCTAAAGCCTAACACTTAAGCTGTAGTTCTCCGACTGCAAAGTGTCAAGCATTTTCGTTGGGGGCTGTTTCCGGCAGAATTCCACTTTACTGCGCCGTTTCTGAGTACACGTCACATGCTAATCTCATCGGGATGGTGGATTGTTGATTCGATGCTATTAAGGGCAAACATTAGTCGCGTGTTTGGGTAGTTTGCACTGGAGTTTTGGAAGTATGCGCTCAGTTTCTCCAGAGCTTGGGTATCGAGTTGTTGACCGTGAGTTTGGTAGATCTAGCTAGTAACGGAGATATACCGCCCATGCCAGAAAAATGGAACAAACACCGGAGAAGGCTCACGCACTCACTGAATAATAAACCAACGAAGCGTCTGGCTGAAACGGTCGAATGCAACTGCCTTCACAGGCACTTTTTGGCATTTGACTACTACATTGTTTCCTTGACCTTCAATAGCTTGAAGCTACATCCCATTATGCTGAGGAATAGGATTAGTTGCCTCTGCGACTTGAAGACCGACAGTTGAGCAATCTTCCAGATACACTCAAAATGCGCCGCTGATGACATACAGCATAAAACTTAACTGCGAATGGAAACTGTCGCAGTGTTTTGCCTACTTCTATCTTAGGCCTATAAGGTAAAGTAAGCGCAGCTTGCCACGGTGGCCACGGTGCCAGGGACAGGCGATATGTTCGCATGTAAAAAAGATTATTCAGTAAGAAGTTATATTTTCCATCAAAATATTACGTTCAGCACCATCCAGACTATCGCTAGGCCATAGCTTCAACGAAAAATCATAAGGACATGGGTTTCAGAAATATCTTGACGGGGGAGTTATTCCTTGCCTTCCTGCAGAGCCCATCATATTTATGTGCTATGCACAATTACAGGCAGTCCATGCAATATACCTGGTTACGCATAGACTCCCTTGTGCAGCAGAACCGCATGAAACTGACACCTAGAACGATTTCATGGCATCAAATGTCAACATGCGGGCATGTAACAAACATCGCAAAGCATTTTCCCCAGCAAGAAAGCCATGCCTAAACTGTTCCCATGTAACTACAGTAATCACCGATACCACTCAATGCCAAGGCGCTGGTGATAACAGCAAAAAGCAGTCGAACTCAGTTTACAGTGAATACGATGTCCTCAGGAGTTTTATCCACGAGCTTCGTTGGAGGTGGTTTGTTTTACTGTCCTCCTGATGTAGCAAAACGTAATTGTTAGCACGTTTCCTCCCAGCCGATACCGCAGGGCCAAAAGTTGTAGCAAATTATTTAATTATTTATGCTATGGGTCTCCCAGGCAGTCACTCCTATCTAATTTACTGCGTCACCAAACATTCATGGCATAGAAACTCGAACGGCTTGGTCAAAAGTATAACGCAAGCACCCACAATCGCTTGACGAAAACAAACTATAATATCATTGCGCAAAATGGCAAGCGGTGTGGTGGACTGCAACGTTGGTAGACCATCGCGAGTGCCGCGATTTTGCCTCATCGGCGAAACGTCCTCGACTATCCCGGCACAAATTGGAATAAGCCTAAAATAATGCAGCTTTTTCGTTAACAATGAGGCTAGGATGACAAGAAACATGTGCCTAGCGAAGTAGGGCTGCGTTACAGGCGCTGGAGATCCTTTTTGAGGTAGTATTGCAGAGGGCCAGACTACATGATGGAGCTTGCCGCTTATAGAAGCAACGAACGCTACTGCTTGATATGTTTGCCGAGGAGCTGAAAGGCCAAGACGCCAGTGCAGACGCCAAGAAGAAGGCTACTAATGAGGACCGCCCCTAATACATCCAATCCCTCGGAACCAGTTTTTATATAGGCGATATTTGGCCCTTAGTGCTTTCTTGTTAATAGTTAGCGTTAAACAGCGTGTACGGTAAATGTGCCTATACTTGTTTCACCAGCGACATAACTCGCGCCAATCTTTGATATCCTCTTTCAACCTAGACGTCCTGAACTACCGAGTCATTGGATATCCAGCTTCAGTATATAGAGTCAATACCACAGTACTTGAGTCAACCAGTGAGTTGATATTCTGCATAGGGCCAACGATGGTCAAACCATAGACAGTTCAGCGATCTTGTTTGGTTTTAGCGGTTCTTAGTTATTGTAGGCTCCCAAACGCTTGCAGGAGTACAGGGGATCAGATAGATACATCTTGAATATATATACCAAATGCAGCTTCTGAGAGTATAAGTACCCGACTATCTCGATGGACTCCAGCCCCAAGACTAGGCTTTATATAGACAGTAATGTGTGCGCGAGTGAATAACGCTGCGAACAAGACTCGTCAATCGCGCTCTACAGAATACAAGCCCTTCGGGAGCCCCCTTCGAGACGTGTGCAGGAGGGTTCGGCAAGCGAAGTTGACACTTCCTCCATACAACATTTTTCTGCATGCTTATATCGCCTCATGTCAGCCCGTGTTGTCCATAGTCATGATTGTACTACAGAAAGAAGGCGCAAGCGAAGTTACCTTAGCTAACGCGCATAGTAAGGGATACTGTGCAAGTCACCATCTTTGGCATCTGCCTTGCATTCTGCACTACACCATCAACAGCTAGGCCGCTGTATAACGAAACTTTAAATTGCAAAACTGTCTGCGATGAGAGCCTTCTGCAGACTGCTAACACCAACCAAGAGCACGCACCTTCTGCGAAGAAATTCATCCACCGACATACAGACCAGTCTGTTAACGCAGCTTGCAGCTGTTTGCACATCTCCGTAAGGGCAATCATACGGTCCACCGCTGGCCCAATCGTCAAAATACGACCACCACGAAGGTATGTTCCTGTGCAAAAGGGCTGCTGCAGATGACGGATCACAGCAGGCCACGCAACTCACCTTCTGGGGATCACCATACCCACTGCCACGCATCAGGTACCGTGAGAACGCTTGTTGCTCTTCCTGTAAATACCCGATTGTTGCTTCGACTGCATCAATGCTGAGCTATGCTTCTTAATACAGTAAAACTTAAATAACGGGAGAGTACTGAAAGGCCAATCCAGACACCATATTCGCCTCCAGTGAAGCTCCACATGTATTGCCACTTACTATACACCCCGAATGCCCGTGCTGCTCTCCCTGCAGATGTTAGTCCGCATAGACAACTGATACGCACCTTCTGTTGGAGCACCACATCTGCTGCCACACACCAAATATCGTACGCTCACCTTATTGCTTTCTGTGTAAGTCTATATTTCCATTATTAACCGTTTAAAGGCCTACATCTACACCTGAATGCCCGCGTACCTGACACCACCGATATGTATAGACAAGCAGCATTATTTGCCATACGCACTTTCTGTCAGAGCATTGCATCTGCTGTCAGACAAAAGACACCGTGCGAGGCCCTTGTTGCTTTTTCTGCAGATATCCGTCCACATATTGGACTGGACGAATACCCGCATTCGCAGTTGGAAGCGAAAATAGGTGAAGCCACCAGCGCTTTTACACAAGCCACTTCCGTCACCGTACGCACCTTCTGTGAAAATCCACATCAACTGCAACAAGTCAAATGCCATGGATGCAAGTTTTCGCCCTTTGTGCAAACCTCTGTGCTAATACGCAAGAAATGCAATGCGGACCTCCGTGGGAGAGTAGAAGGAAAGCTAAAACAAGAGGAAACATCAGATGGGTCGCAGCGATGTACCCTACTCACCGTCTGCAAAGTTTCACATCTACTGCCACTCATCATACACCGTAAACTCAACTTTTGCTCTCTCTCAAGGTGGATGGAACCGGTTGCATTGTGACCGCTCTGCCAGGATGCGAGATCACCTCGAACTATGGGTGTATGTAGTGGCCAGAGGTGCCACAGTACGCACCTTTCTGCGAAACGCCGGATGTACTGCAGCACACCATACAAGGTGACGGTCGCTTTTTGGGAGTGTTCGTTGCTTATTACAACGGTTAGTTCCCAAGCACGAACTGGTCTCTGGCCACTGGAATTTGCAGACATGTTATATTGGGTGTTGCAATCTCTGTGTAACACACCACCAACTTGAACGGAACACAACCGCTGAGCAGACTTGCCTGCTCTCTGCAGACACCTCTGACAACACATTGGAGCTTTGCTCATCATTCTAGCATCGTCTGCACTTGTGAATTCACGTGCAAATCCACCAGCACGTCCGCTGCTATCTGGCGCAACCTTACCCACCGCGCACACGTGAAGCTTCCCTATTTGGCTGCTCGTGAAGCGTTCCCAAATGCACGTCGAACCATAGCCTTAACAGGGCATGCCACACGTACAGGCAAGAGCCAGCTCTGCTGCGGTTAGCATTCCAACGAGTGCGTCCACTTACTGCTCGCGTCGCACTATCCATCCGCGTCCACCAACAAAAGCTTTCGCTGCCTTCGCAGGTCGGCACAACATAGCCTGATATATATGACGTTCATGTCACGCTACGAGTCGCATCACCCAAACAGCCACCGCATCAATTCTAACTGATATTTTTGCTCGCAGTTGTATTTTCACAAGTTCTGCTGCAATGTTTCCAAATGATGAAAAGT